TATTTTTACTGTGATATTCTTTGTTTTCTGTTTTTTTGCGCTGCTTTGCCCTATTGCTGCTGTGTCAAAATGAATTTCTCCTTAAGGGGATAAATAAAGGAATTATCTTATCTTATCTTATCTTAAAGCATTTCCAGCTGTTACCTTCATCAGGTGTCTGAGGCTGCTTCTGGTTTCCTTCTATACTGTCATGTGATTGATATATCACCATGTGTACACACTTTACAGTTTTTCCTTCATACACACTGTAATCTTCTTATCCATAGTTCATACAAACATAACTTAAATCCCAAATACAGAGTTTACATTTTATCTTAACCCATCAATGGGGAATTAATTTCTCAATACAAGAGAATAAATTCTGTGTTCTTTCAACCCAATTATCACTTTTAAATCGCTTCCATCTTGTAACATTTACAGGTAACGCGAGCTAATGTCAAAGTCCATCTACGTTTGAATTTATTACATTCATCCACAGTCTACACTCCCAGTTGTCCTTGAAGAATTTAATTAACGGAGAACAAACATAATATAGTAGTCAGACAGTACGAAAGCATGTGTGAGCAACTTTAGGAGAATGTGAATAAAGCATATATACCAAGAAAGGTGGTGTTATTTGAGGAAATTGGGTCACTGCACTTGAATAACTAAGATGTTATGAACACTGGCTGCAGGAAACATAAAGGCACAGTGGAGCTTTGGACCACCAGAGGTGCTGTAGAGTAACGTTTTGGGCCTTTTATTATTTGTGTTGCATGTATTTCCACGACATGAGCACAAAGGACTGACGTGGTTCACATTTCTGTTGACTGCAGTCGGTGGTGATGAGTATCAACAAGACTGGGTGGCCCTGAAAACAGTGCAAGTTTTGCAACATGAACACAAAGATTTGGGTATTTCTTGGGGAAGGAAATGCTTTCAACATGTTTGTTGAGGTCTTAAAGACTGGATTTTCGGTGTCATGTAAAAAAAACAGTGTCTTTTTTCCTGAAAACCTGTTATGGTGCATTTAAATACAGTCTGTAAATTGCAGATATAGGCTATAAACCCTGTAAGAACATTATTCTAAGAACTGGAGCAACCTTCACAGTGAGGAGGAGTTGCAACTTTTTCCACCGTCCACTCATCACTGAAGAATGTATGTCTACTCACAGTGCACTAATACTGCGTTAGTCTTTTATGGGTTAACACAACATGTTTAATGAGTTGATACAGTTCAGTTTAAATGGCCATATGTTGTTTGTTCTTGATAAAGCGCAGAATATCTGTGTAACTGAGATTTGATTTGATGTATTGACTGAATATGTATGAATATGTTGTCTTTTTCTAGTTCCACTCATTAGCTCCTATGTACTACAGAGGATCGGCTGCTGCTGTCATCGTCTATGACATTACTAAACTGGTAAGAGTAACAGCCTTTACTAAAATGAATAGGTAACCACTCTTTTTCAGTTGCCTGCTAACCGTTAAGGGCTTGAGCAATGCCCTTCACCTCTAACTGTATCAGTGAAGCAGAGAAGAAGCTGGTTTCACAGTATGAGCCTGATGTAAAATTCAATTACTTTTCCATCACTCCGGGATGCCTTGCCTTCCTCGACCTACAAATGTCATTCTTTCCTGGTCTGTTAATGGAAACTTGTATGAAAAACACCACCTAATGCGATGAATGTGCGACACAAGTTGCAGAAAACTGTGTCGGCCGTGGTCTCATAAGGAACCTATTAACCTGTGATGTGCTGTCGTTGTTTCAGGACTCTTTCCAGACACTGAAGAAGTGGGTGAAGGAGCTGAAGGAACACGGTCCGGAGGACATTGTTGTAGCCATAGCAGGGAACAAGAATGATTTAGGAGACATCAGGTGAGCAAAGGGTTATTTTCATTATTGTCATTGCTTGTTTTAAATAGTAATAGTATGTCTGTCTTGAGTCAGCACAAACAACATGTCCTCTTTCCGTGTTACTTGATTAGTTTTCCTCCACAGATTCACTGCAGCCTCAGTTAGGACTCTTGTTTTACTGCATCACTTCCTTTTAAGACTTAACAGCACAACAGGTTTAGCAAAGTCTTTGTTCAGTAATCCTCTTGTTACACACCTATTAGGTAGCTCATGTCAAGTCCACTGTGCCAAAAAATAACGTCTCAATAATTGTCAGCCTTCAAATAGAGCTTCATTAATTAAAACAAAACAACAAAAACCACGTGTTGTTCTTTGTATTGACTGCAGGTTCTTTTTTGGACATATGTTTGTGTTTACTTGCTCTGTGGATGGTAACACCACACTTCAAGTTAAGTCAAATTTTATTTATATAGCCCAAAATCACAAATCAACATCCTCTGTCCTTAGACGCTCAATTCAGTTTAAAAAACTCCCCCCAGACAAACTTATTAATAGGGAAAAAATGGAAAAAGCTACAGGAGGAGAGCCACGACACACCAACAAATTATATGCACATTTCAATGACACAATTTCTGATACATGAAGAAGCTGTCAAGTAAAATCTTTATAAAGAATGGTGCCATTTCAGTACAGTTTCATATTTATTGTAAAAACCTCCTGTTGTTTCTTCTGTGCGCTCTGTGTTTTGTCCCTGTGTTCTACAGGACTTCCAGCGCAAACTAGGTAGAGACGGGATGGATGAAAGTCATTGATGAACATGTTGATTTGCCATGTTAACCTCCTTCCACACTTCCGTTCTGTCCTTCTCTTTTCCAGGGAAGTTCCTATGAAGGAAGCTAAAGAGTTTGCTGAATCAATTGCAGCTATTTTCATCGAGACTAGTGCCAGAAATGCTGTCAATGTTGAGGAACTCTTTCAGAAAATCAGTAGGTTTCATGTCTTTACTGAAAGTCTGTGTCACATGTGTCTGTGTCATTGACTGTATATAGTGTATTATTTTGGAAGATATGTGCTGCTGATTCAAAGAGATGATCCAAGAAAAGGCCTGTATACTTTCATGTAATCCTATATGGCAGTGGTCCCCAACCTTTTTCTTCGAGGGACCCCTTTTTTATCATTTA